GGGGGCAAAGGGGATTGTTAGATTAGAGGAAGGACTAAGTCAGTTAACGGGTCTTTTCTAACTTCTACTATCAGACAACTTAAATATAAGAGGGAATGGAGGTCCCTAGGCCTTTAAAAGGTTTTTAAAGACAGAGACCAGAAACCACATTTTTATGGAGGCCTGTTGGCAGGAAAGAATCTCTCCCAAACACACTGAATATTTCATTTCTACGGGGAAATCTGGTGATTCATCTTTCCTGCGCATATGTAACCGATTCAGCCTAAAGGTGCATTTAAATAATAATAATTAGCTCCAAGGAGCCTAAAGGGGATATTTACATCTTTGTAGGAGGGCTGCTCCTCCAGTGATGGATGGTGGACTGGGCTGTCCGGGCTGCTGCCGCCACCGCCGCTTGCTTTCTGGGGGGGCGGAGGCGGGGGCAGGTCCGCACCGCCGGGGTCACCCAGTTTCCCGTCCTCTTGAAGCAGCCTGGTGGAGTTCAGGGAGAGTGGGAAACCGCCCACGGCGGTTGGCGCGCGGTCCCGGCTGCTCCCTTTCTCCGACAGCCCTCGGCCCTGGAGGAACCGGCCGGCCCCGACTAAGGGGTCCCCCAGCAGGACCCCGGTCTCCTCGTCTTCCTCCTCGTAGTCGTCGGGGTCTCGACCTTCCTCCTCCTCCTCCTCCTCGCCCTCCGGAGGCTTGTTGCCCTCTACGTCCACCTCCTGCTCCTCTTCCTCGACATCCTCGTCCTCGGAGCTGTCCTCGCTGGGGTAGCTGCAGCTGGTGCCCCCGGGGGACAGAAGGCCTCGGTGGTGCGGCTGCGGGGCCAGCGGGGGCGGGGGCGGCGGCGGCGGGGCCGGGTGGTGGCGCTCAGACCCCGGCTCGTCAGGCTGCGGGGGCAGCAGCAGCAGCGGTGACGGCGGCTGCGGGGTCTGATGGTGGTGGTGGTGGTGGTGCGGGTGGGGATGGTGATGATGGTGGTGCGCTTGGGCCGAGTGCGGAGCGCCCGCTGACGCCCCGTGCAGCTTGGCCAGGCTCTCCGCGTCGTCCTTGCCACCCACAGGCCGGAAGGCGCTCGAATGGTGGTAGGCGCCACCGCCCACCTTGCGCCCCTCCAGAAGATGCGGGTGGTGGGACGCCGGCACCCGGGCGCCCGCGGGACCCGTTCCTGCCCCCGCCCCGGACGCTGCGCCAGGGTCGGCGGGGG